CGATAGGAACCACCAGCACACACAGGGAGAGATGGAACCACCAGCACATCACAGGGAGAAATAGGAACCACCAGCACACACACACGGGGAGATGGGAACCACCAGCACATCACAGGGAGAGGTAAGAGCCACCAGCACATCACAGGGAGAGATAGGAACTACCAGCATATCACAGGGAGAAATTGGAACCACCAGCACATCACAGGGAGAGGTAAGAGCCACCAGCACATCACAGGGAGAGATAGGAACTACCAGCATATCACAGGGAGAAATAGGAACCACCAGCATATCACAGGGAGAGGTAAGAGCCACCAGCACATCACAGGGGGAGACGGGAGCCCCAACACTTCACTCGGAGAGACAGGAGCCCCAGCATATCGCAAGGAGAGGCAGGAGCCCCAACATATGACAGGGAGAGACGGGAACCCCAACACATCACAAGAGGAGACAGGGACCACCAGCATATCACAGGTAAGAGCCCCAGAACATCGCAGGGAGAGGCAGGAGCCCCAACATATGACAGGGAGAGACGGGAACCCCAACACATCACAGGGAGAGGTAAGAGCCACCAGCACATCACAGGGAGAGATAGGAACTACCAGCACATCACAGGGAGAGTGTAAGAGCCACCAGCACATCACAGGGAGAGATAGGGAACTACCAGCATATCACAGGGAGAAATAGGAACCACCAGCACATCACAGGGAGAGGTAAGAGCCACCAGCACATCACAGGGGGAGACGGGAGCCCCAACACTTCACTTGGAGAGACAGGAGCCCCAGCATATCGCAAGGAGAGGCAGGAGCCCCAACATATGACAGGGAGAGACGGGAACCCCAACACATCACAGGGAGAGACAGGAGCCACCAGCACATCACAAGAGGAGACAGGGACCACCAGCATATCACCGGTTTAAGGTAAGAGCCCCAGAACATCGCAGGGAGAGGCAGGAGCCCCAACATATGACAGGGAGAGACGGGAACCCCAACACATCACAACAAAAGACAAGATCCACAGCACATCACTGGGAGAGGTAGCAGCCCCAGCACATCATCCAGAACCATCCCCAGGTTCTATAAATCATTGAAGCTGCAAAAATGTGGACAGGCTCGCAGGTCCTTCCCTCCTTAACATTCACCGCCAACACTGGCGCCCAAAATCACGTTTCCTGAGAATTGTCACGGTCAGCATATTTGTTATAGTAGCGTGTGGGCGAGAGAGAGAGAGAGAGAGAGAGAGAGAGGTTTTTATTTTTGGGGGGATGGTCTTTAATAAAGAGGTCAATTGGAAGGACGGTTCGATATTATTTAAGTTAGGTAGTTTAATGTTAACGTGAACTACTCAATGTCATACACACACATACACACACACACACACACACACACACACACACACACACACACACACACACACACACACACACACACACAAGTAATGCCCCCACACGGTAAAAAACACAGACAGACACACAGAAAAATAACGCACACACAATAAAGATACACACACAGACACAAGGAAACGTTATAAAAAAATCAGTCATGAACCACAGGCAAGCAGAGAACAAAGGAAAACTGTACAACTACGCGAATTAAAACCTCGACTCACATCAGGCGGAGCTCAAGACCTCATGTCAATAGCGTACAGTTCCTGGGGTCACTCACCCTGAGACGAGGGATGGTTTCACGTGTTTCTTAAAATCAGATTCTCAAAAACTCGTACGATAATGTTTCTTTACTTAATTTGGCCAGGAGAGAGGAAACCTGCTTCTGGTTAGTTAGGTTAAAGTTCCAGGACTTATGCTGGAAAGGAGAATAAACCTGCATCAGCTTAGGATAAAGCTGGCCGGGAAGAGTAGATCTGCGTCAGCTAGGAGTAAAGTTCCAGAACGATGTCGAATTCATTTACAGTCGCCATCTGTTTCTTGGAGATTAACTACAACAGCTAAACTCGTTCTCATGTGCAGTACTTAGCCAGAGAGAAAGGTTGAAGTAGAATTTTCGTAGGAATTGTTGAGAATTCAATTAGTAAGGTCACGTGGAGCCAGTCAGGGACTAGTGCTCCCTCCCTACACCTCTCATCATTATAAAACAAAATCTTAATTTCGTTAGTCTTTTTAGAAAGTGTTAGTTGTGTTTGTTAGAATGAAGTATCTTGCAAACGGTGTTTTGTTAATAACTTTACTGAAATACTTCGCTGCTGTTGGCACGAACGGTGAAGGTTTGTTTTTATTCTTTTGTTCACTGATGCCATTTTTGTTTTATCTAACAAAGCGAATTATAGTTTCATTGAGGCGAGACACAAAAGATTTCTTTAAGCTGATTAATTGACATATCGCGGCGTTGTTTAAATAAATAACTCGTTGTTTTTTGTGGTGTGTGTAGGCGCGTGTCTACTGGTGTGAAATACGTTCACTTTTATCTGGCTCAACGCAGGAGTGTATATAGGTAGTTATTGTATCATAGTAGAATTTTCTGATACTTAATAATGGTCACTAACAAAAATGATATTCGCCTCCTAACCTAATTGTCCCAAGTACGAGTACTGCCAGTCGACTCAACTGTAGAATGGTTACCTAACTTTACAGTTAAGGAAGTGAAAGGACAAAAGGTTGGAAGTGTTTGGAACTCACACTCTTATGGAAAACACTTCCACTGATTTTGTTACCAGAGATAAGGGTCAAGATTGTTTTTTTATCCTGAGGTGTTTATATTATCGGTTTAGTTGAAGTGAAGATATTTACTCCTGACCTGCCATAGGGAAGGTTATAATTAATAGTTGTTGTAAATGATATAAGTCACGTGTGTATACTGAGGTGGACGTGTTATAAAGGTTATTTCTTTAATCTGTGTTACTGAAACCTCGAGATAACTGTT